ATTGAAACTTCTGCCAAAAAATATTGAATTCATAAATATTAGGAATGAATGCACAGAATATTTCCTTTTTCATTGTCCTTGTGCTGACTATTCAAGTGTTTTCAACATTTGTATCAAATAAAGTATCATTTTATAAATTTACTTATATTTTGCCTTTTATTTATAACAATAAATTCAATCAAATTCTAATACATAAATGTGATTTATGCCTGAATCTCAGACAATATAACATTTAATTTAAATATCAAGCCTTTATGCATAAATCATAAAATAATTTCCAATATTCACTTTTAAATGGAGTATAAAATTTAATAATGAATATCTATTTATAAAACAAAAAAGACTAATCAATCGATTAATAGATCTATATTTGTGTTATTAATATCACTAACAAGTAATTGTATGTAAGATATATTTGTCAGAAAAATAAAAATTAGATTTCAATTCAAAATGTTTGCATCAATTCAGGCGTAAATGCATTCAGAGGACGAATGCGTGGAACCATTGAAAGTGTTACACGAGTTATGTTTGTTTGACTTATGATTACTAGAGCTATACAACTGAAGTGCAGCCAAATGTAGTTTCTCTACAAAGTCGGGAACACCGCTGACAGCCATCCAGTTATAGGCCGGCGATGGAAAGGCAGCTCTCGGGTCATCAAAATATGTGAGCAAATAATCAAAGCCGCACTCATCGAAAGTGGTGTGCGGTTTGATCACCATTTGGGACGAGTAGTCAACCACACGGACGTGTTGTGTGCATTCCGGCAGTGCAGGGTATTCAATGGATTTCGAGACCAAAACCATTAGGTTTTCCTTCATATCAATCCGAGACCGCCGTAAGTATACGTAATCTCTGGTATTCATCGGATACTAAACACAGACAAATCATTGAAGGTTACCAGGATAACTTATCACATTTATAGTTTACTATGATATAATTATCTAATCAACAATTACCGGGTATTTCATAATCCAATGTAAAACTTCATTTCCAGAGTCTTCACTGTTTAGCTGATCCCTATCAGTGACAAAGGGTTCCCTTTCGATAATATCGAGTTTGATAACCAGTTTATCCCATCTCTTGCGGTATTCTGTGTCCATCTGAACCCTATAGAAAGATCGCGCCGGTATGTCATTGAAAGTACCAAAAACTAAACCCAAAGCATACAAAGTATTAATTATTAGTTCATAAATCAAATCAAATCAATGCTTCATTGAAACAAACCTTTGTATTGATAGAGAGAAGTGTTGGCAACTGCTTTGCGCCACAGTTTGAAGTCATCCCTCATAATAACGGCCTCCCATTGAGCCTCACTCTCATCATTCAAATCGCGAGTTTCGGCCGAAACTGAAAACGATGTGCTCTTCGGGATGTCATTCATTTGGATGCGATTCGTGGCACCGACTCTTTGGACGCTCTCGAAGTCAGTAATGGTTTGCTTGAGGTCTCCATCAGTGATGCGCTGACTGTCCCAACAGAAGAGCCCACAGACGGCAGACATGAGACATTTGAGCGAATCCTTGGACTTCTTGTTACCGGAGAAGCGATTGCGTAATGAAGTCAAAGCCCGGGCTCTGAGGCGGACCAGCATTTGGGACATGAGTTGATTGACTGCGGATTCGCTGTAAATACGGTTATAGAGGCCACAGATCTGAGCCATTCTTCGCAGTCTTAAACTCATGTAAACGTTTGACTGTTGCCTCAGGAGTGCCATAAAGAGTATCACCTTTTGGTTCAACTCTTCGCGAATTGAGTCCCAAAACGACTGACCATTTTGTCGCCCATTTGTCACCATATGATGTCTGCCGAAGAGTTGGTTGCCATTCGTGTTGAGCGACTGCAGGCGTTGTCTCAACAGAGTATGCGTACGGAAGTGATTGGCGATCATCTGAGAAGAGTTCAAATACATTGTCTCTCACCTCATGAGTGAGTGGTTCACCACAAGACATAAACAATCATTCATTCATTCATTCACTTCTCGATCAATGTTTGCATTCAACGCACGAGTCGTCCAAACATTACGTCATTTCATTGCAAACGAGTGGCAAATGTTGGACTCATTTGTGCCGAAGAATGACAATCTGTGGACACTTTGATGCATTCATGGACCCATTGGTCACTCATGAGGTGATGGGTTGCAGTGAAAGCACACAAACATGAATAGCAGTGAAACAGCAGTTGTCGTCAAGTCTCGGACTTCGACTGCAAAGCAATGACCGTATGATTGGTTTGTTTGCTGTGAGCGTGAGATTCAAAATGCATTGCAATCCAAGTGTTGACACAAACGGCTTGTCATTCACTATGAGTTCGCAGGCAATGGACACGTCTTGTGACCCAATCCAGGGCTATATCCGCGAAGACTATCACAAGCAATGCGTGAAGAGTGGCGAAGAGTGTGGAGAAGAGGGTCGCGACGACAACCACGGGTCGGACGACCACCACATCGAGGGTCGCGTCAAATGCCATGCCTTTCGTCGCACAACACATGACTCGGAGGACGAAGAGAGCGATTCGGACGACAAGACGGAGGAAGTGGTGCACGGGTTCAGTGATCGCCGGAATCTCAATGTGAAGACAGTGTCGAAGGAGACACCAGTCGTGTCCTCGAACTCGACGGGAGATTCGCTGTCGAAGACCCGAAACAACTTCTCTAAGAGTCAGACAACGAAACAGAAGGACTACAAGAAGCCGAAGACCAGCCAATTGTCCAACAAATGGGGCGAAACGGTGGGCATCACTGACACCGAGGGTCGCGCCAAACGTGTGGTGAATATGTCTGAACTGAA